GTTCGAAATTGTAGAAGTATGAACGAACTGCTAGTGCTGGAGTTGTACGCGGAGTGAGAAAATGGCGGGGTGAGGAATTGGTTTGTACTTAAGGGGTCGCATGACCTCAGGCATAAATGGCGCAGCCTGCATGTTCTTAAGATGAACAAACGCTTGGTTAACTTTGTTTTGGCTATCAACATCGTTTTGACAGTGACGCGCGAGGTGTTCGATTTAATTGGTCGTCTGTGGCTGCCCATTCTCTGGAATTTTGTAAACTTGCTCGCTGTAGTGATAGCCTTATTTGGCGTCGGGCAGGGTAGACGAACCCTGTCGTTTGTTTACTGTTGCTGGATGCCGTTGTGGACTTGTTGGAACGTGCTTGTGCTGTGCTTTTATCTGAATGTCAGTGGCTTACACGACGATGACCAGTTACTCGCCTCATTGAACTTTGGCACTACCGGCAGAAGTTGGTGGTATGACAAAGTTCCGTTTTGTCAGCAAGACCCTTACAATATATCGTTTACCGGACAGGTGGTCAAGCAGTGCTTGGTGGACCATAAAGCGGTAGAAATGGTCATTGCATTGGTGCATATATTTTGTTCGTGTTTGTGCCTTATTTTTTTGCTGCTTCACGAGGTGGAGGGTTGTTGCCGCAGGACAAAGCCGCAGAACGTCGACGTCGAACAGCGGAGACATCGACCAACAGTGACGGTCGAATTTTCTGGTGGTCAAAGCACGAACGCTACGAAATGTAGTCGTGGGAAGACGACGCAGAGAAACAGTGTGATTTGTACTTCGTGCCTACCGGACAGAAAATCATGCGACGAAAGCGTGGCCAGCGGTTCCTTCCAGAACAGCCGATATCTCGTTCCTAACTACAAACGTCCTTCTGCTGGCAACGGTCGCTCTTCCAGTAAGCCTGCTGTAGACAGAATACGGCAAGAGGAGCCGATAGACAATATTTACTCAGGTTCCTGTAATGGTGATGTTTTTCACAATCTGGGTTTTTCGGACAATGGGTCCAGCCGTTCACTGACCACGTTGGGACAGAATGGCCGACAGACAGATGTGAAACGTGAACCGCCGCGAGTCATCGGTGGTTTGATGAACCG